CCGCCTCTAATGACTCGAACCAATCAATGTACGTGTCATGACCAAAGTGTGAGCAACATCCGATCATGGAGCTGGAATGTAGATTATTTCTCTTCTCATTTTCTCATGTTTTCTCTCCCCCTAATAACTTTGACAGAAATTGTGATGTATTAGCCTGTAGATGAATCACCGCAAACGAGCTTGTTCGCTGCTGTGTTCTTCTTACAATTACACTAAAAGTTCAAACTGTTAATATCATAGAAGTTGCGGAAGCTAGTCGTTTATACAAAGTCACTCGGTATTCTTCAAAGATCAGGTTATTGCACATGGAAAACTCTGCCAGCTCCGCGTAGATCAAGGGTTCGACTGGAACAGATTTGTCATAATTGGTACTACCAGAATGTGCCCACGAATCTCAAAGTGCAAATAAGAGCAAACTGATCATCAGATCAGACTGAGAGTGAGCTGCATCCTTCGGAGTCTTTCTATCAGTTCGTTGAAAGAAGATAGCAAACCTTGGTCAAGGGTCCATTGTATGCTGCGGCAGTTCGGCCAGTTCCGGTTTACGGTTCAGAAACTTGGCCATTAGGGAGACAGCATAAAGATAGACTATCGGTGTTCGAACACCGCTGTCTACGCAGCAATGCATGAATCTGGTTGGGTCGGACGAGGAAGCTGAAGGCAGGCGCAGAGTTTTAGGTAAATGTGGTCGCCCACTGGAGCAAGTGATCGACCTCCATAGATTACGTTGGTTGGGGCATATTTTACGCATGTCACCTGATGGGTTGTCACGGTGAGTGATGTTCTCCGAGGCAGGTAGTGAGTGGAAGAAAGTCAAGGGTGGTCAAGCTGAGACCTGGAATGAGGGTATGAAAACCCTAACCAGGAGTCTGGGTCACATATGTCCCGTCAGGCTCCTTGACTGAGGACCACGGGATGATCTTAAACGTTGGTTAGAGAGATGTGGCTGAGTGGCGTTCGTGCATCTTGTCGATTTCTCTGCAAAATTAGTGCAATGAAATACTACATTTTCTCTTCGATCCGACTTTCAACCTTTCCTGTGTTTCTCCCAATGTTCATCCACATGGGTAGCCAAAAGACAGCAACCAATACCGGCGCACGATAGTGCATGGTTATTGATTGCAGAAGGTGAAACTGAATATCTCAGTGATCACGCACCAAATAGTTAGGATCAGATGGATAAAAGGTAGTCAAATAATCACGCTGTGATAGTGTACTTTGATACACCTCGGACGCCAAAACTGTTTTTATGATATATTTCGGTCGTACTTGGTTGCGCGCTAGATATGCAAACATCATCATTGGGGTAGATGCTTTGGTTGTGAAGTTTTACCCCTCGCTTGCATTTTACCAAATGTACCTATAGGACCAAGCTTCTTGAATGGCCTCTTTCACTAAAGTGGGAGGACGAAAAGCTAACATCCGGATTAGAATGAGATCAACGAATCGTTGGCAGTTCAAATAATGAAGTTGCCTAAAACCATTGATTCCAAACCGAACAAGAACATGTGGGTGAACCAGATTCACACTTTCTTGGTGGTCAGATACTTGAATGTGCATCGAAGTTAACTTCTGACTCCATCTAAAGGACGTATTATTCGACGAATTTCACATCGATCCCCAAGGGGTTGTGGTTTTTAAACACCACCAGCTGTATTGAGAGTGAGGCTGTTTGGCTAAAAGCTCTGGCTGTGATTCCTCGAAAAGAACTCCTCTGCTATGGCTTGAAAACCCAACAGTGTTCCGCCAACGGTGAGAACATGAAACGAGCATATGAATATGGGACGGTGACTTTTTGGTGGACAGCTTATTTTCGAAAATTCGTGAAATGTTATATTGATATCAATAATAATAATAATACCAATAGTATTGATAATAATAGCTTCGAGGTCCTCAAAACTGGCGGTAATCAACGTATGGGAAGCCTTCGTGGACCTAAGGCAGTGGCATAATTTCGCTCGGAGATTATTGAAATCACATTATACCAGTTCCCAAAAAACTGACTACTCAAAGTACAAAGAGTTAGGTCTTCTAAGTGAACAGAATGAACTCAATTCAATTCTTAACCGAGTACAGACTCCTACTCTTGGCGATGAAGTTAACGCACAAATCATTGAATAAATGCAAAGAAAAATAAACTGATCACAGAATAAATGCTAACAAAACGATTGACGTGTATCAAGCCGTGTGTTTGCGCATCGGTTCTCTACCAGTCTCCATGTCTGGGCATTTCAAGGTGGATTGCCGTTTACACGAATGATCCGGACAAGTTTTCCAACAATTCATATAATCCTCAGGCGGTTTGACAGGTTTGGCACAAATCTCTCGATTCAACATGTAACATCTGGTCGGATCACGTGTCAAATCACTGCCGGCTCGTGCCACACCGGGTTTTGGTGTTTGTGGGCATTCAAAGTTCTGGAATCGGGGTTTATGATCTGGATTTACCTCCATATTTGTGCGCGATTATTCGCAGCAGTGATAGCTCCCGCTCGTCAGATCGGACGAATGTTGGGGAAACGAGAGATGCTTTCTTTTTAAACATGATGCTTTGGTTGAGCGAGTGTATTGATCCGCGTCATGTGATGAGTGGAGACGAAACTGAAGCATGTCGACGTCGACGCGTGGTTATGATGATCTTCTAAGTGGGTTTCGAGACGAGTCCAGCAACCAGAAGACCCACTACGGTTGAGCCAGGCGGTTATCAGCGTGTCGTGATATAGACTAGGTACATATTGCCGCGAAACAACTGTCGTTGAAGCTTCCAGATAAATACGGTCAAAAGAAGGGGGAAATGACCGAGTCAAGTCTTCCAATCAAACAAAGAAGTGATCTGAAACGATGAAACTCATACATTTCTCACGAATCTGTCTCTAAAAGATCGTATAGGATAAGAAATAGCGCAGATCGGAAGGCAGAAAACAAGCTATACGAAGCTGAAACGTTTTTTTTAAAACATGCGTCAACTGCAGAGAACAGCTTCTTCAAAACGCACCGAATCAAGTACAGCAGTTGACAACAGTGTCTTGATTAAAAGAGTAT